ATCGCACGGGGTACGTACTAGTTTTTAATAAGTGTCGTTTTGAGAAGTTGTACAGTAATTAAGAATCTTTTTTGTCAATAATAACCCCTCATCAATAAGGATAGAGATAACCCCTTTTATCTCGCGATCGTAAATCTCAACAGCTGCGCTAGAGCCTCTCTCCCAATTTGGCCGATTTGCCTTCCCCGTCGTCGGCGTAAGCTCAGCTAGGGGTCGTTTAGACCGCCCTCCCCTCCCCCTGATGTTATGCACCTCTGGCTCGCCGCGGATGGAGGCGACTAGGGTTCCAGTTCCCGGTAGCGGATGGGGCTTCCATCGGTGGTTGCGCCTCTTCCGGCCAGCGATGAACCTAAGCATGGAGTTCTCCCTTCCGAATCAGACGAATTTCCGACCGGAGGCAGTAAGTCCCTTTCTCTCTCCCTCGTCTGCTCTGGTTGGATTGGCCGTTTAAGGCGGGGCTCCGCATATCCAGTGGGGCTCTGAACCCTGGTTGTTGGCTTGTTGTGGTGGTGTCGGGAGGGCGTGCGTTTTCGGGAGGGGCGAGACCCTGATGGCTATGGCGTCTCAAGTTACGGTGATTGGGGTTGAGTGCGCGGTCTTCGCTCACCCTCCCTGATCGGCTAGTGGTGATAGGCGGCCGGGAACTGGTGCTATCCGTCTCGTCTAGTAGTGTTAGATGAGCTCGAGTGGGGCCGGTATGGGGGTTGATTGTGGCACTCTCGATTAAAGACGGGTCGATTCCTGGGATGGGTTTGGGGCTAAGTTTACTGTATAGGCCTTCTGCAGTTTCAGTAGCGACTTCTGGACCTCGAATCCTTCTTGTGTCGATCGTTTCTCTGCTGGTTAGGCTAAGTCGTTCGTCGAGGAAGGGCTCCGTTTGTTTTGCTTCAGTTGTTTTGTTGTTCTTAGGGAGGTGTATTCAATTTCAACTTTTAGAGACTTTTTAAGACTGGTGTATTCAATTAGAACTTTTAAAGACTTCTGAAAAGTTTACATGTATTCTATTGAGACTTTTAATTACTTTTAATAAGTCTCTAAAAGTCTCAGGGTATTCAATTAAAACATTATGAGAGTCTTTATAAGTCACCCTGTATTCAAAACAGAAAGACTTTGTGAGACTTTTTAAATTTTTAGACTTTTGTAACAAAATTACAAAGGAAAAGTCTCAACAGAAATCTCATCAATATTGGTGAGATTTTGCTGGACTTATGTGACTCTTTTTACGCTCTCTTTTTTTTTTTCTTTCTAACACGACTTTTTAACTCATATAATTTTTATGCTCTATTATTTTACTTATTTATTTTGATACCTTGTGTAATTTTTATTTTCATTGCGTATATTAATGTGATCTTTTTATTTTATATATTCTTTATTGTGCTCATTTTATGTGTGTATACCTTTATTCTCTCATTTTGCTATCTTGTGAATTTGACTTTTCAAAGGTTAATACTTTCATAGTTGCACTTGCAAATAATTTATTTGTTCTTTCTTTTATTTGTAAATGTTTATTTCAAAATATTAAAAAAATACTTTATTTTTAGATAGTTTATTTGTTAATATTGGAATATTTTGAATGATAATTTTATAAGATACAATTACTGTTTTTCGGCAATGTTTGTATCTTGTAAAAACATATCGTAATAATATTTTTCTCATATAACATCATTATGCAAAAAAATATAAAAAATAAAATCAATCAATAATCAGATAAATATATCTTAATTTGGGTTGATTATAAGTGTCGTTATAGTAGAGATGTCTAACACATATTTGAGCTTGTACTCTTTTAACAAACAAATATAAGACCCTGCTCTATTCGACTCGTTGAAGCTCGGATCGATTTACTCGTTTAATAAATCTAAAATCCTAAACAATTTGTTCGTGAATAACTTATTTTGCATAAAAACGAGTTTATTCATAAATTTTTAGAGGATTAATGTATACAACATCTTTTTTTTCATTTATTCTTGTTTATATTAGTTATTATGTTACGTTTATTAATATTTTATTCAAACATAATATTATAACTGCAAGTATATAAAAGTCTCAATAAGTTTTAAAAAGTCCATTATGAAAGTCTTAAAAAGTCACTAATGAAAATTCTTTGAAAGTCTCAAGAAGTCCACCAAAGTCATGAAAGTTCTACAAAGTCCACAAAAGTCATCAAATTTAAAAAGTTTTAAAAAGTCCTTAAAAATCTCAATTGAATACACCATACTTATAGATGTGTTGTCGTATTTGTTGAGTTTTTGCTTGTTTGTGCGTTGTAGTTGTTGATGTATTTTAGATTTGAGTCGTTGGCACCGGTTCGCTCGAGTGTGACCTTATTATCCTGTTGGGATCCCACCCTCGAGCATTACCTTGTTGGGGTCGTTTCAGTGTCGTTTTATTGTCGTGTTTTTGTGTTGTTAGGATATTATCCTGTTATGGTCGGTTCTAGGCGGTCTTATGACCTGTCCTCCCAATTTTATTCAGCTGGTGGTTGGGTCTGTATTCAGCTGGTGGTTGTACTCTTGCACTTTTGTGCCTTTTTATATATCATATCTATCGTTCCAAAAAAAAAAATAAGGATTGAGATGAATGTTTTGAGAAAATAAGAAAGTGAATATGAAAAGGCGTATACTTATTAGCTAGATGAGGATAATAGTGGAAAAATATCCAAAACATCAGTTATTTGGTTAATTGTTGATAAAACTAAAATGACATTTAAAAAAATAAGAGATAGTAACAATAGTTAATAAAAATGAAATATTTAAAAATATCATTTAATACTTTCCACATTTTTAACGTTATAACTACGAATTAATTTATGTTATTTGTTACAATTTAAAATATTTAACCGATATGTACGTACCAATCACAAATATGTTATCATCTATACAAAGGATTGGGTTCAAGTGAGAATGATTATGAATAAAAGAAATAAGAATGCATCTTGGCCTTTAGATCGGATGATCAAAAAAAGTCAAAATTATACATTCATTATGAGTAATTTAGACATTATCATTACACATCACCATGCCACATCACCACCCACACACACACACACACACACACACACACACACACCAACACGTGACATACACACGCATAGCGGCACACCAGCACCCAGCCCACCGTCGTCGCCCGGTCGCCTTCGACTCCACACAGCTTCTCCTGTCGGCGTACGACACGGTACTGCCTGCAGCCGTCGCCTGCCATAGTCGGTCCGCCGCCGTCATTGTCTTCATCCACCGACGAGTTTTTCTCATGTCATCTGCCGGCGAATCATATTCGTCACGCTCTCCGGCTTCAGGCGAATAATGGAGAAATGATTGAAATGGCCAGTCGAACGTATTTTTTAAGACGACGGCGAGTTCGACCGGATCCATTGAATACATAGCATGAAAGGACGACTGAATTTTTTAGGATTGTCGCTGCCATCGGGATGATTTTTCGGCGAGCAGAGGGACGTACTCCACGAGTAGCGAACGATCAAATCGCCGGAGAATCGACTGGAGAGCTTGACCAGTAGTGCCTGCGTGATTTTCAGCACTTTGAGAAGTAGATATTTCCAAGGGCAGCATTTTGAGAATTAGATAATTCCTAGGGACTTGATTGCAAATTCAAAATTTGGATTAAATGTCAGTTTAGTCCTTAGGTCAAATTTATAATTTGCAGAAACTTTAATAATGTTTAATATATTTGCAAATTCAAATTAGGAATTTGGGGCTTCATTGTTTTTTCTTAAAAAAAAATAAAAAAATAGATAGTGTTGATGTACAATTCTGCAATTTTATTAATTTTGAGTATTTTTAAATTTAGTTCATGACTAACCATGTAATTATAGCAATACTGTCATAAATGTATATTAATGATAAATAAAGTGTACAATGTTTAAGAATTTTAATATGTAATGTATAAAAATATTAAAATAATAAATATACTTTTATAATAATGAATAATAAAGTATTTCAAGTATTTAAGTTAATTTATGTACAATTATATTTACTAATTTTAGTTTCAAAAAACACAAAATTTTAGGATAGAACTCCACTAAGACACTTTTAGGCTCACTCAGCTTTGGTGCACTTCACATTCGTGGGACCGCACCCATCAACCCACGTTTCTTTATGTTATCAGAGCTTGTTCACCCAACACGGTGGCTTAAGCCTACGTAGGACCGTGCAATGACGAACCCGTCACCCAGTCCAGTTGGGCTTGTGTCTCATATGAAGAACTCACGAGTGAAGTGACGTGTTAGAATATACACTTGTGAGTTGTCTCACATCGTCTACACAGAAAAAATAGGCCTAACTTGTAAACTTAGTAGACCACTGCTCCTACCACCAATTAGTTTTAGGATGGAACCCCACCAAGACCCATCTAGGCTCACCTTACTTTAGTGCGCTTCACGTCCGTGAGACCGCAACCATCAACCCCGTTTCTTCATAATCCACTTCTTACCAAAAGCATCATATGATGATATGAAATTATGTTCTTTACATTGCCTTTATGGTAAAAGCATAAATTTCTCTCTAAAATTTTTTCCCATCAACATAAAAGATAATAAAAACAGATAAGCACCATAACTCAATGCCATAAAAGATCCCTACAAACAAATGAACTGCAAAAATAATCTTTCCCACCAAAGTGGATGATAAAAAAAATTAAAAATCTGAGAACTCACTCTAATATAAAGAGACACACCTATTCCAAATTAAGCTACAAATTCCCCATTTAGGACCTAAATTCCAATGCCAAACCTCATCTCATTCTTACCTAAGTCCTAATCCTTTTCCTTTCATCTCTCACCAATTTTCCTAAACTCCTCATAAATCTTCCGTCTTTCTTCCTCCTCCCTACCACCAGCTAAAATTACTGGTCTACCCCTCCCTATTCTTCAAGCCGGCATTACGCTACTGTACAAAAAAACCAAAGAACAAAGAAATCGGAAAGCAAACTCCATGAATAGAATCCAACAATGCACGACAAATGAAAACGAATATGAAGAAGCAATATCACGGGCTCTGAACAATACTGGGCTTCTTCGTGGGCTCGGGCCCACCTTTGCCCCTCATCTCGAGTACCTTCTTGTGTGAGTTCGAGTGCAGGGCGGGCATAAATGTCGGGCTCGCCGCCGGTCGGTACTCGGGAAACAGCCGGCCCGACTTGTGGCGGACCCCACACGCGTTGCACAGCGTCTTCGGGCCCATTGGGCCGGATCGCCACTGTGGCGTCTTTGTGATCTCACAGTGCATGCACTTCCGGATCGGGCCTTCGTCGCCGTTCGCGGGCCTGATTTTCTTCTGCTTCTGTTTGGGCTGGGTTGGGCCCAGGCCCAATTCGACAAGCTGTATTGTGGGCCTGGTGGTGAAGGTCACGGGCCGGGGACGTTTGCTTCGGGCCTTCTGGGGCCCACGGTGAGGATTTGAGCTGAGCGGCGGCTCGGTTTTCTCAACCGAGCAGGAAGAGGTGCTGCTCGTGGTGCTCTCGAGTACCGAGATTGGGCTCAAAGTTTGGAAGTGTTTGTGATTTGGCCCCCCGTCGTTTTCTACACACGGGGGCCCGTCTTTCCCGATGGTGAGTCCACCACATGAATACGAGTCCTCAACAAAAGTCGAGAGCCACTCGAGTTGCGCAGTATCCTCGTACTGAAAACAAGATAAAATGTAGGAACGGCGTTAGATGAAGAGTACCACAATAAAATAAAGATTGAAATTTTAAGCTATGTTTGGAAAACCTAACTGATAAGCTAGCTTATAGTTTTTAAGTGAATTTCGAGATTATAGTTGATAGTTTATGACTTATGGCTGAAAAATTTGCTTCTATGACAAAAGTACTTGGTAAAATTAGCTGATAAACTAGCTGAAATGAAACTTTCAATAAGCTTATTTGAAAAGGTAACTAAGGAGGCTTATAAGATAAGCACGAGTTCGCCCTACCAAACCAAATAAACTTATTTGAATGCAGGAAGTTTATAAGTTAATCAATAAGCTTTACCAAACACAGCTTTAATGGCAACCGACAATCAATATGCTTTTTGCAATGCAATGGACCACAAAACCACACTTTTGAATTTTGAAACAAGCAAACACAATTTAAAGATTCAAATCAATGAGTTGCTCCCCACATCATTATGTGTGAATGCAATGCAAAATGTCAAAATACTCAAGTTATTTTCATATTATTTGATAAAGTTTGGGAAAAATTAAGTGGAAGAGCAAAAGGTAAATATCAAAATGGAAGATTAACAATTACTCCAAGGAGCAATGCAAGCAAGTTTTGATATAACTGCCCTTTCCACAAATCTTGTTCATCAAATATTAACTTTTTCGTATCGACTATTACAATATTATACGATATAAAAGTTCTCCCAATACGATTAATTAAGAACTCTTTGAATGCTTATGATGTAACAAACCAGCAGCATCAACAAACTTTGCCCCACTTCAGTTTTATTCAGATTTCAGACAACCAAACATGAATGAATATCACCAAATCATTAGCAATAACAGCAACTATTCGCCAAACATATCGAATTCGTTAGTTCCGCAATTTAAATTTCTTCAATCAATCATGTCACGAAACAACCAAAACTAACTTCATTGTAAAAATATCTATGCATTAAAATTTCAAATATCCTAAAATATTTTCAAAACATTACTCAAAAAGTTTGCCTACAAAGCGATTAACGAAAACCGGTAAATGCTCACCGGAACCGAGATCTCAGTCAAGAGATCAGACGGCAAATCACCCTGAAAAAATGGTTCAGGTTCGAAAAACGGGTCGCTCCACATGCTCGGTAGAACCTTTGACTCGGATGACCCAATAAAATTACCGCATTCGCTGTCGGGTGGGAACTCAATCAAATCATCAATTTGATCAAAGAAGTTGCCACTGTCAATCTCATCTATCATGTTCAGCCCCATTGTTCTAATTATTATTTTTTTTTTCTAACCTGAGGAGAATCAAAAGCATAAAAGAATTTAGAAACAAAAAAAAATATGACAGAGAAGTACAATGAAATAACTTAAATATGTTGTAATGAGAATGGATGAACGAGAAAAATGTGGAATATATTAATAATGATAATGATGCTCTACAGATTTTCACTGATTTTCAGTTAAAAACAATAATATTTGGATTATTGTTACCAAGAATGTAAAAATCTAGAGACTTTTTTTGTGATGAGATACTGAATATCTTCTGCCAACACTCAAACTAATTTAAAATCTTGTTTGAACAAATTATGCAAATGGAATGCAATAATTCTAAAGCCAATTTTAGGATATGCACGGACACTTACATTTTTCTCATTTTTCAACTGAAAAAAGGGACCCCAAGGGAACAAAGCCAATTGTTTTCATAACTTTCAGAAAGCAAACAAAAAAGGGGAAATGCTACGGTCCCGTTACGGAACCATTCCGCCAGGGTTTGTAATCGTTATATCATCATGTAACTGTCGAAAATAGTTGATCTAACGGTTACAAACCCGACGGAGTGGTTCTGTAAGGGGAATCATAGCATCTACCCAAAAAAAAGTGACAAAATATCAGAGTTTGTGGCCTCAAATTGAGGTAAAAAACGAATCTTTTTTTTATCCTTTTTTCTTGCAATTTGAAGAGAAATGGGCCTAAAACTCCATCTTTTCCACATTTATCTGGCATCATTAAAAGGGTTTTCCTTCTTGAGCTGGAAACAGGGACAACCTCAAACAGAACAAACATTACTGAAACAAATCTTCAACTAAAACTAGCATTTTTTTTCTCTTTTTTGGGCAACTTGAAAAAGAATGGTCCTAAAGACTAAAACTTTCCCACGTTTTCTCTAGAATCATTAAAAGGGTTTCCGTTCTTGAGCTCGAAACAAGGAAAAACCCAAACATTACTGAAAAAATTTCAGAAAAAATGAAGAAAAGGGCCAAGAAATTAAAAAAAAAAAA